CCTTCCCTGTGTCAACAGTTTCAAGACCAGAGGTACACTTCTGTCACGTTCCTGCCTCTGGAAGGTTCCCATTGATCGATATTGTGGGGATGCTCCAGCTGTGAAACAGTTCATCTTCTTCCGGAACCCTGAAAACCCTGAATCTCAAAAGCTGGAGAACAGTTGATTACACAATGTCGACAGATTTTAAGAACTACCATATAACAAACATCGAACAACATCTGGCCACAGTTCAGTAGAGTGACCTGTAGGCGGATCTAAGCAAGTATGTTCTCGATGTTGAATCCTTTCTAATGACTTAGGGGTCCGTCCCAGCCTGAAAACAACACTAAACACGGTGCTTGTCAAATGGCATCAGTCATGCAAGGTGCAGAGCAGTGCAATGCTCCATAGACACTGAAAAGTACAGGTTTTGTTTTGCTGGGAAACTGCTACCCTAAATGGATTACACTATTACCAAAGAAAAAGTCAGCTGAATTACAGCTGTGATAAATGTCTCCGATAGAACAGTTAATCATTCTGTCCTAGGAAGAACAGCAGAGAGGAATTTAGAAATTTTCATAGCTGACAAACTTTCCAGGACAAACATTTCTGAAAACATTAAATAACACTTGCATTCCCTTTTCAAAAGCTACAGCCAAGGCCTGCTCATTTTAACAACCCTCTGAAGTACATCTGAGGAAGAGAGACAGAAATCCTGCATTACTTTGAAGAACTGCACACTCTGCAGCATCTCAACTACCTTGGAACTCCCTACCAAGCCTCATGCTTCATGTCAGAGCTTCTCACTGAACACAGTGTTGAACCTTAACAGGCAGGTTTTGAGGAAGCATGGAGAGAAGACAACAAGGATTACTGCCTACTGGCATTTCCCGCTGTCCTCTGCAGCTGAGTGATTTCACCTGAGGTAAACATGTTATTCTAAACAGTACTATACCACAGTTCTATAAAAATAAAATCAGCTGGGTTCATACAGCCACAATTCTTCCCAGGTGCTCCCCATGTTGTCCCCACTTGGGAGCTGTATGGGTACCCATGACCTGTGAACCTTTAGGATAAGGATATGAATGTAAACTTGTAAATACACACCTATTTCACATGTCAGAAGAACAAAAAAGGGACCATTAAGACAGAAAAGACAAAGCAATCTAGAGACAAGAGACAAAAAATGGAAGCATTTTGAGCACATAACAACCACCGATCAACACCAATTCATCATTACAGAGAGCAAAAATAACTCACCGAAATCATAAATGAGGGTGTAACAATTATTCAGCATGTTCTTATAACTAATAACCCACCAAATGTGATCTACATTGCATAATCATAAAAAGCTGCATAATACAAACATCAACACCTGACAGAAAAGAAAAATGAATACTTATACACAGACTAGTCCAGATCCATTTCAGTATTCCTAGTCATGAAGACCAATGCTTCAGGAGTACAATAATGATAGTAGAATTCAGGAGGATGACTATCCTAAAAAAGGCACCCCACTAATTTTAATATTACTTCTTCATGCTTTTCATCTTCAAGACATTTTACAAAAGCAAGCTTATTTTCACAAACTGCTTTATAACATGTGGGGTTTATTTTACAGATGGGAGAACAAAGTGATCGGAGACACTAAAGCATTTATGCAAACCCTCGGAAGATGCCAGTAAATGCTTTCCCCAGTGCTTTTCTCACATCTGTCAATTAGGAGATTTACAGAGTTCTCCAGCGTCAGCCAGCGTAGGAGGAGAACCAAGCTCCAGATTTAGACAGCTCCTTGAACACCTAACTCCAAGGCCAGCCCGATGAAGAGGAGACTGCATGTGTGGGCAGAGGGGCAGCGCGTAGATCAGTCAGAAGGGCCCCGAAGTGCGGGGCGGCGGGGCGGGGCACAGCGGGAGCAAGGCTGTCAGCGCCAGAGCCATACCACCCGGCTGCAGGGAGCCCGGCTGCTGGGCGGACACTGCTCAGATCCACAACTGCTCCTTCCCAACTCTGTTTCTGGTCTTCCCACCGCCCTTGGCTGTGTCCCCGTGCAGGGGTAAGGCACAGCGGGAATAGCCCCTTGCTCTGCTCTTCCACGAGGTCACGTTTCCGACTCCACCATCGCACGGAGCGCCGGCGCTGCCGGCAGCGGTGCGGCAGCTGGCCTCCCCCGGCCGGAGCGTACCCTGCTCCGCCTGAACCTCACACGAGGAGAACGTCCTCTCCCCCGACCGCTTCCTACCGGGCACACCATCGGTCTACCCAGGGCAACCCGGAGCTGTTCCCGACCCTCCACCGCCTGCCACAGGGGCGGTGAAGGCAGGGACAGCCCACTGGGGCCAGGGCGCGGGACCGGCCCCCGCCCGCCGGCCGGGCGGGCTCCCCAGGCCTCCCCTGCCGGG